CAATTGGGAATTTTTCAAAGTCATATTTTGGCATGAAACACCTGTGTACCAATTATTCTCATTGGTCAGTGCTGAGAGGGAACATTCTGTGGTTTCCATTGCTTTGTCGTACTTGCAGGTGGCCTGTTGTTCATAGATACTAATAGTTTTCAGAACTGTATCCTGGAGACTACAGAGGAGGTTTTGGTCTCCCCTGGAGTTTCTTTTGTGGCCAAACAGTTCCCAGGAACCAAGCATCTAGGAGGCTTGGGGGGGGGGGTCCTGGAGTTTCTATGTGTTCAGTTTTTACCCTAGGCTCCAGGAGGCCAGGGGATCTGAAGTTTCTTTGTGTCATGTGCTGAGTCAGAGGGCTGCATGTCTTTTCTGTAGCTTGTCATGACTGCTAAAGCAGTTTACTCCAAGATGGATGCAGCCATCTTTATGGGCACCAACATCTAGGACAGGAAAGAAGTTGAGGCACATCCTAGCTTACAAAGGCCTTTTAGACACCCCAGGACAAACTCCAGGCCTTGGGACTGAAACCCCTGGGGAATGGTCCAGCAATTCTAGTGTACAGCAAAAGCTGAAACCCTGTTTCATCTCTCCAGTCCAAGGACCATTGTGGTCAGGCCTGGGGCCATTTTAGGTCTCAGGTCTGATGTTTTCTCTACACTGCTGATGAGCAGCCTGGGTTGAGATTAGTTAGTGTGGTTATTAGAAGATGCCTGGGAGCCTGAGTCAGCTCCAACCTCAGCTTTCCTAACTCCCCTAGATACCAGTATGTTGTAGTGCCCAGGAGGTTGAAGGAGGAATGGCACACAGCAAAGCTGAAAGCATACCATACCCTAGCACACGGCTCCTCACAGGAACAAACCACCATACAGCCGCACATCAATGGACCACCACACAGCCCTCCAGGTGCCATTTCTGGTGCATATACTGTATCCCAGCTGAGTGATAGAGCTGGAGTAGCATTGGGGCTGTTCATGGTGATGCATCCCTGAAATGGAAGGTATAGTCATAGACATATCACTAAAATGGGGCCAGGTCTTATCACCAAGGAAAGCCACCTTCCCTGCTGCCAACTCTGGTGCCTGGTACATTATAAGAGACTCTGAGGAACTTTATATCTGAAGAGATTCACTGACCAAGTGAGGATGGATGCTACCTTTGACAGACACTGAGAGATTCATGTCATAGCATGACCTGCTCAAGGCCACAAATAATAGAGATAGCCCTTGGATCGAGGGTTTGTTCCTTCTAATCCCTTGAGCACTCTTTCTGACCTTAGGAAGGGCTCCAGAACCCAAGCAGGATTAGGGGTTTGTTAGGAAGTACAGGAGCCTTTGGCAGGCCTTTTCCTGGCATCTCTTAGAAGTGGGGAATTGTGGGTATGGGATTGCTTTCAGGGACTTTTCTGGGTGGAAACTCTTCCAAATTTGAGCATTAAGGAAAGGTTATAAGAGGGACCTCCAGAAAGGAGCCAACCTCATTTCCTCAGATATAAAAGCCATGCTTGGCAATGGAAGTACAGATCTAATGCCCCTGTTGGGGACATATACCTGTCTGCAGGTGCCCCTGGCAGGAATTTAAACTTCTGCTGGCACTTCCATGAGTCTTAAACCAAGCTAATTCATCCTGGCTCTTAGCTAATGCCCTGTGCAAGGAGCCTTATGCTAAGTTGCCCTCCCTGGGCTCCTGTTTCCACTGTAGTCACAAATACTCAGTAATGAGTTCTGGGAAGAAGCCATGACAGGCGGCATGATGGGACAGACAACCCCAGGCAGAGCAGGGTGTTTGCTTTGGCTGGGAGATGCTGGCCTGGCTACCTACTGTTTGCTTGATGGTGGGAACTGATAAATGGACTGCACATAAAATGCTACATAATGGTTCCTGCTGTGTGTCTGGACAGGCCCTGACTTGGTGGGAAATGGCCCTAGTATCCCACTCTATGGTTTCCCTTGAGTCTGCATGGTCACTAAGAAACAAGAACTTTTTTCTGTTTGAGAATGAAAAGTGGATCTTGGAACTTGTATGTGTGTTGATGAATTACTCCAGGCTGCTGTTTGTTAGGACAATAACACTCCAGCTGCAGGGTAGGGGGAAGCTGTAGCTCTGCCTCTAATCTGTCCTGCTCTCTGAGATCAAAAGGCACAGCAGAAAGGGCAGCTCTTGCTTGCTTGTGCCTTTAAAGACAGTGTTGCCTAGTGGAGAAAGCAGAACACCTAGGCTACATTAGCTGCATAGCCTTGGAGACGTCTTTAGCTGCCTCTGTTTTCTTGTTTGTCAGGATAGTAGTCAGGCTCTTGCCTCCATGTACCTTAAGGGTGTGGGTATATTGAGAGCATAGAAATGCAGTAATGTAAATGGTAACCTTTATCGATGACAACTTAGAGTGTGTGTGTGTGTGTGTGTGTGTGTGTGTGTGTGTGTGTGTGTGTGAGTGCACATGCATGAGGAGGCTAAAGTTTGACCTTAGGTTATTCCCTAGATGACATCTACTTTTTACATTAATTAATACATTTAGAGTATGTGCCATATCCCTGATGTGGATGGAGGTCAGAGAGTGGCTTGCTGGAGTTGTTTCTCTCCTATCACATGGCTTGTCAGACTTAGCAGCAAGGTAGTTTACCTGATGACCCATTTTGAGGTCCCATTTTGCATTCTTGATGGAAAAAAGCTGGGCACAGTGGCCTGCACTTATAATCCCAGTGCTTGGGAGACAAGCAGATCCCCAGGAATTGATGGCTAACCATCATAACCAACTTGGAGAGTTTCAGGCTGAGAGATCTTATCTCAAAAACCCATGTGGACAGTGAGGAATGATGCCAAAGATTTTCCAATGGCCTACACACACACACACACACACACACACAATCACACACCTGACCTCCCCTCACCATTAAAAACAAAATGGCTAGCCAGTTAACAATGTCTGTTTTCCTTTTCCTAATAATCTAGATATATATTAGCTACATCAAGATTTAGTAAACTTTCTTACCTTCAGTCTAACTGCCAGTCCATGCCAGTCCATGATTCTTTTAAAGTGTAAGTCAAGTCCTCTTATTCTGCTTAAGTCCTTCAGTGGCATTCTGCCCCTCAGAATAAGACCACAAATGTTATAATGGCTTCATAAGAACTCAGCATTCATAAGGCCCCATGTGTTCTATTGCCTGTCTACTATTTGCCCTCCTCTCCAATAGCTTTCTTTTTTACTTTACGTATTCTTTTTACATGTATGTATATCTGTGTACCACTTTCAAGCAGTCCCCTCAGAGGTCAGAAGAGAACCTCAGATCCCTTAGAATTAGGGTTCCTTACTGGAGCTGGGAATTGAACCCAGGTCCTCTGTAAGAACAGCTAGGACTCTAAACCACTGTGCTATCTCTCCAGCTCCAGTCCTCCCTTTCTTTAAATTTCCAAGCACATTTCCACCCCAGGGCCTTTGCAGGAGCTCACCTTATTTTTTCTACAAGTCTCTACCCATAAACCCTAATTTGGCTATCCCTGTCATCTTAACAATGAGGCTAATCATGGGGCAGTGGTGGTGCATGCCTTTAATCCCAGCACTTGGGAGGCAAAAGTAGGCAGACCTCAATAAGCTGGAAGACAGCCTGATCTACAAAGGGAGTTCCAGGACAGCCAGGACTACACAGAGTAACTCTGTCTCAAAAGCCAAAGCAAAGAAAAAACAATGAAGCTAACTATCCTACACAAAATAGCAAAATCACTCCTCTTAATATGTTTTATTTTCTCCTCAGCATATACAACCATCTGTATATTTACTTGTTTTATTGTTTCCTCCCATAGAATTTGGTTTACACATGAATAGAGGTTTTTATGTATTCTGTGCTTTTAACAGATCCAGAATTATTTTTTGTACTCATTAATTATATTTTGAGGAGCTAGGGAAATGGCTCAGTGGTTAACATCGCTGGCTTCTCCACCCAAGAATCTTGAGTTTAGTTCCCAACACTCATATTTGAAGGTAACAACTATCCTTAACTCCAGTTCCAGAAGAGGGATCCAATGCCCCCTTCTAGTCTATGGCCATACCACCCTGAACATGCTGGATCTCATTTGATACCCCCTTTTGGCTTGCAAGGACACCAGAGATGTACATGGACACACTTGCAGGCAAAACACCCACATATGAAAAACTGATGCTAAATAAACAGATTTTGAATGAGTGTTCTACCACAATGGCTTTTCATACAAGCAAGCAGCTTCTTCAGTGGGAAGAAGGCATCCCCAACTAGCTTTCCTGGAGATTGCTGTTAAACAAATGTTGTCTGGTCTGACTGATAATCAAAGTAGGAATTATACCAAAAGTTTGTAGATACCTAAGTACAGCCCTATCTTACTTATTTATTTTGAAACAGGATCTCAGTATGAAACAGGATCTCAGTATGCACACCCCTGAATAACCTATACCCTATTATTTACACTAGGCTGTTCTCAAAGAACTCTACCTCTGTTTCCTGGGATTAAAGGCAGGCCTGGAATTCCTAGCCTTTAAAAAAAAAAAAAAAAAATTAAGTTGTTTTTTGGTGATGGTGGTGTGTGTGTGTGTGTGTGTGTGTGTGTGTGTGTGTGTGTGTGTTCATGTGCATGGGTACATGTATCCATGGGATGCATGTTCAAGTGTGTGGGTGTAGAGGGTAAAGTTGACATTGAATGTCTTCCTCCATGGCTCACCCCTTTTGTTTGTCAAGGCAGTTCTCACTGAACCTGGAGCTCACCAATTCAGCTAAGCAACATCTGAATAACACCTCCAGACCAGAAGAGCCGGAAACTGTGAAAGTTATTTGGTTGTGGTGGTTTTCATTATAAGTTTTGACATCTGTGGTTAACTTTGCTATCCAAGGTCATGACTGTGCCTGGAAAACATGACTCCGTGCCTGGAAAATTGAACTACAATTCCCAGAGGGCCTCGCTAATCTATCTGGGAATGCTGGGAAGTGTGGCAGAGTATGGTCTTTGGCCAATTATAGTTTCTGTTACAGGCGTAGCGATTAAGTTTCCCAGAGTGCAGCTTTAGGAGGATTCTGGGAGGAGTGGCAGAAGCGTCAGTCCTACAGGGAAGGGAAAAGGTAAACCATTTGAACTTGGACATTCAGCGTTTCGTGGGGTTTGCAGACTGTTGGGACATAGAAAGCACCCCGAAAAGAATTCAGAGTGAGTACAGTGAAACGAAACCTGTTCTAAGTGCAACCAGGATGTAGTAAGGAGTCATAACCAGAACTGGCAGACGCCCTCGCCTACAGCGTTTGAGTTTTTAAGTGTTTCTAATCTCGAGAAACCGGACCTTTTTGCACTCAACATTGAGTACCTCAGTTTATTTTCTGATTTCTCACCTTTTCTCTTAATCTTTGAGGTGGTGGTGGGATCTTTAGAAATAAACCATAAAGCTTTTCATATAACCAAGACCGTGAAGGCTGCATCACGGTGGCATCTCATCCTCTCCAGACTGGTCGAAATCCACAATGGAATGGATGTTACCAGGACTCTCCCAAACACAAAGACCAATACCTCTGCAGGGTGAGGGCATCCGTGAAGATTCGGATGGACTCTTTGTTATGCTTTATGCCTTCTGGAAAGGCGAGCAAGATGAGAAATGTATGCCATGTATTTTGTTAGTTTTAGGTCAAAACAGTGTTACCTTTCATCTCATCTGTAATTCTTTGTACACACACACACACACACACACACACACACACACACACACACACACACCACGAGGGAGCGCAGCTCTCTGTGACAAATTCCTGAGTATTCGGGGCATGACAATTTGCAAATGGCTAAAACTAATTTAATAACAGAAATTGGGCAAGACACTAGGCAGCCATACAGTGGGCCATGCAGACTAGGTAGTAGCTACCCCTACAACGAAGTAGCTTTTGCATTTCCCAGGATCTACGAACCTCACCAGAGGAATTCCAGTAGCCTAGAAATAATCCAGCTATTATCCCATGAACTACTGTTTTAGTTATACATATTTGTTTCTTAAAAAGAATATGTGCACATGCCTAAATTTTAGGCATCGTGTCTCAGTGCCTATAACCCCTCTAGCTGAGGCAAAATGGTTGCTGCCATGAGTCTGAGGCCAGCTTGGGCTACAAAGTGAGACCTTGTCTCAAGATTAATAAATGAATGAAATTTAAAATCAGTAAAAATAAATACATTTAAGACAGGGCTAGGAAGACGGTTCATCGGGTAAAATGCTTGCTGAATTTGATTCCCCAGGACGACCCTTGTAAACCTGGGTGCAAAAACACACATCTGTAATCTGAGCATGCCTACAACGAAAGGAGAGGCAGGGGAGGCTTCCTGGGCACTCACAGGCTAACCACCCTGGTGTACACAGGGACAAACAATAGAAACAGCTTGGCTGAAAATAAGGTGGGGGGGGGTGAAGATCCAACACCTGAAGTTGTCCTCCAATCTGTACACGTGTCCTGTGGCACATGTGTGCCTATAGCAACCCCCCCAACACACACACACACACACACACACACACACACACACACACACATACTATATATACACAAATGTACATGTGAAAATGAACAGTTTAATTGCATGTACCCTTCTCAACCATCATCATCTTCCCTTTCTCCTAAACTAGCCACTGTCTATAGGTTGGTCTGTATACTTCTAGCCATTTGAAAAATATAAATGTCTAACCATAATCCTGGCATTCAGTAGTTGATAGCAGTAGGATCAGTGAATTCAAGGCCAGCCTGGGTTATATGAGAACCTCTCAAAACAAATAAAAAGTAAAAGTCCATACAACTCCAGATGAATGAAGTATTATATGTTTGCAATCACAGCACTGTGGAGTCAGAGGCAGGAGGATTGCCATGAGTTCAAAGGCTAACCTGGGTTACATAGCAATTTCCTGGCCCACTGAAGCTAAGACCCAATTTCAAAATAACAACAACAACAAAAATATGTAATTTATGTATACTGGAATGGTTTATCTGTTCTCTTCATTGTAAATGAATTAGGTAATGGTGACCAACTAAATATTACTTGTCTTTTCCACTTGTCTAGCTGAAGATATAATAGGCAAATAAAGCTTGGTGTGGAGGCTTATGTGTGTTAACTCAGTACTTGGAGGGAGGGGACTGATACAGGATGATTGCCTCTGATTGAAAGCCAGCCTAGGCTATATTGTTTCCAGGCCAGACTCATCTTAAAAAGTTATCATCATCATCATAAATTGATAAAAAAAAATGTAGTATATAATGTAATATTTCAATATTTGCACATCCTGTTAAATAAACCAAGCTAATATATATATATGTATGTATGTATGTGTATATATCCTTACATATTTATAGTTGTTCATTGTGGTGAGGGCATTTAATGTCTCCTAGAGGTTTTCAAGTGTCTTTCAAGTATATATATATGATGACCATCAGTGCTACAGATTTGCAGAACTTACATATCCTGTCCAATTGAAATCGTATACTCTTTGGCCTGCATTTCCCCGTTGCCTCTTGGGTATTTCTGAACTGTGTTCGTGCTCTATCCTGAAAAACAAATATTATGAATTACTCTTTGCTGTTACTACACACATTATTCTCTGTTTAGAAGCTACTTACTATTCCATTTAATCATACGTTTGAGGGGTTGCTGAGGGTCAAACCTTGGGCCTCATGCATATTAGGTAAGTAGTTTACAACTGAGCTATATCCCCAGACCGTATCATAATTTAAACTGGCATAGTATGCATATGAAGGCCAGTGGACAACTGTGGGGAGTCAATTTTCTTCTTCCACTGTGGTTCTGGAAATCAAACTCAGGTCATCAAGTTTGCACAGCAGCAGTCTCGCTGGGTCCCAATATCATAATTTTAAAAGTTTTTATTTCTTTTATGTTCATTCATAAACAACTATGTTTTTATACATGTGTATGTGTGTCTGGTGCTTGTGGAGCAGAAGAGGGCACTGGAGTTACATGTAACTCCTTGGCTCTGGAGTTACAGGCAGCTGTGAGCTAACATGTGGGTGCTGGGATGCTGAGTAATCTCCAGCCCCTATACTCTTTATTACCATTCTTTTTTTTTTTTTTTTTTTGAGACAGGGTTTCTCTGTATTGTTTTTGAGCTTGTCCTGGCACTCACTCTGTAGACCAGGCTGGCCTTGAACTAGCAGAGATCCCCCTGCCTCTGCCAAATGCTGGGATTAAAGGCATGTGCCACCAACACATGGCTTCTTTATTAACACTCTTAAACATATTTTTTCCTCCCTGGGATAGATTCTTAGACGTAGAGTTTTTAGGTAAAAGAAGTTTTATTTAACACATTAGCAGTTATTCCTAAATTAACTTTAAAATATTAGAGCTATGTACATTTCTGAGTTATATATGAGCTATAAAATTTAGCCTTAAACACATATCTTTAGTTATGCCTTTGTTAGCATCTCAGGGTGTTTTTTAACCCACATAGTACATACTACCTTCTGTGAAGGTTATTCATACTGTATGTTTTCTTGTTTCTTAAATGACCTTGAGTAATATCAGCACCTAATATTTCACTGACTCTAATTTGCCAAATATATTTTAGCCTCACCAGGGCCATAGATTGCAACCAAAACTATTCAAGGATTAGTCATCAGGGACTCATAATTGTGCAATCAAGAAGCAGGCCTGAATGCTAAAACTCACTACCTCCCAAGTGCTGGGATTAAAGGTGGGTATGCTCCACCATGCCCAGCCCGAGAAGTTGGATAAAAACAAAAAATTATTACATCTTAAATTTATTTTGTGTATATGTGTGTATGCCCTGGTACATTTGTGGAGGTCAGAGGACAACTTGTGAAAATTGGGTGCTGGGAACTGAACTCAGGTCCTCAGGCTTGGTGGCACATACCTTTATCCATAGAACCACGTCACCAGTCTAGAATGTTGTTATTTATGGATGAGAAACTTGGTCAGGAGTCTGGAGACATCTCAGAGTTGTCCAGAGTTGTCATTTATTTTATCAAAGATAATGCTAACGACCGTAGTATATTTCAGTGGTCAGGAGACGGAGGGTGTAGCTTAGTGGTAGAGTACATGGTTTGCAAGTGCCAGACCCTGCCCTCAATTTCAAGAACTAAAACTTAAAAAATTAAAAACTTTTAGCTTCTTAATATGGTGAAGCCTTCTTTCTTTTTAAGAATTCCTTTCTGTTATTACCCACAGTTGTAGGGATTGAATCCAGACCCTTGCACATGCTATGGAAGTGTTCTGTCATGACCCCATACCACCCCTACCCAATATGGTCAAAGTTCACTTCTCACCAACAGTCCAATGCAGAAGAGTTTTGGTTGATGGAGGAGCTTTTCTCTGTGTGTGAATCAAAGATCCGTCTAATGACTTTCCTTTCCATTGGAGTCTCCTAAGCAAAGGGGGAAATGAGGATGGAGAAGCCACATTCAATGCTAAAGATTCATCCTAGAAGGGACATATATATTTCCACTAACACCATATTGTTAAGACCCAGGCATGGCCCTACCTAGGAATAAGGAAGGGGAGAGAGATGGTTGACTTTGCAGCACTTCCCATCAACAGCTCCACAGTGTGAAGGAGGAAGCACATTATTCATGTTAATTAGCTGATTCTCATATCTTCTGAGCTCAGCAGAACAGGTTTCAATTTTCTGTTCACATGAGTCTTGGGTATTTTTGTTGTTGTTGCTGCTGTTTGTTTTTCCCTAATATTGTAAAATGATTCTGCCCTGGCTTAAACTATAGCGCTCTTGTTGATTTATTATTTTAAAGTACATATTGTGACCCTAAAAACAAAACAAACCTCCATTTTCTCTAGGAGCCCAACAATGTCTCTGTATTTTGGAACAATTTACAGGAGGAAATCTTTTTGGTGCTATAGGCTGCTGTCAACTTATGTCACCAGGACACAGTGAGTTCTTACCAATCTAATTATTTTGGGTCTATTAAATACTCTTAAAATCCTATATTAAGATTTAAATGTGCAAGATAAAAATTGCATATAATATCCATATTTATAGCTGAAAGACATTTAATAATAAATTTCCAACACTGAAAATGTTCTTGACTGTAAGTTCTACTCAAATAAGACATTGTCCTTTTGCCCAAGAGTGGTGATGCACACCTGAAATCCCAGCATGTAGATGGTGGAGGCAGAAGGACCAGGAATTCAAGATCCTCCTCATCTACATAAAGAATTTGAGGTCAGCCCACGTTACATGCATACTCTCTCTCAAGAACAAGAGGAGGAGGAGAGAAAAAGAAGGAGGAGGAAAAAAGGACTTTGTCCTTTTTTTTTTTAATTGTTGTTACTGTTTTTGTTTTGAGACAGGATCTAGCTGTATTTTTTGTGTGTGTACATATTTATAGTTACACATGTGGAGAAGGGTGAGTGTACATGGTTGCGCATATACATATGGAGGCAGAGGTTGACCAGATGTCTCCCTCAATCACTTCTCCACTTTACTTTTTATTTTTCCAAAGTTTTATGTATATGGGAATTTGGCATGCATATGTTTGTGTACCATGTGTGTACAGTGTCCACAAAAACCAGGAGAAAGAGTATAGATGGTTGTTAGCTGCTATGTGGGTGCCTTGACCTGAACTCAGGTCCTCTGAAGAGCAGCCAGTGTGCTTAACTACAGAGCTTAGTCTTCCACTTTGTTTTTTGAGATGGGGCTCTCACTGAATCTAGAGAGTATTGATTGACTAGCTAGCAAGCCCTAGGGATCCTCTTGTCTCATCCTCCCTGGCTCTGGGATTATAGTGCCCTGCCCGGCTTTTTTATTTTATTATTATTATTATTATTATTATTATTATTATTATTATTATTATTTTACAGATCAAAACTTGAGTCTATGTTGGCATAGCAAACACTTTACTGTCTTGGTCATCTCTACTCCCCTATTGGTTTTTTGAGGCAGTGTCTTACTATATATAGTTCAGGATGGCTTTGACCAGCTGTTCTTTTGCTCCAGCCTCCCAAGTGCTGGGACTGCCTATGTGTATCACCATACCCAGCTAAGACATTGACTTTCTTCTGTGGTATCTTGTTGCCTGAGACAGTGCTTCCCACATAACAGGCACTGATATTGTTAGATGAATGCACAGGGAGGGAGATGTTAAAACAGACCTGTTTGGTGTGATTTTTAACACAGTTAAACTATATTGAATAGTATATTTTTATTTCCTGAAACAGCAAGAATAACTTCAAGACCCTCCTTCTCTCAAAAAAGCTACACACTTCAGGCTGGAGCAAAGGCTCAGCAGTTAAAAGCACCTGCTGCTCCTGCAAAAAAAACCCAGATTTGGTTCCCAGGATCTGCATGGCAGCTCACAACAATCTTTAACTCCAGTTCCAAGGGATTCTACACCCTCTTCTGAGAGGCCCTTTCCAGAGGCACCAGGCACACATGATACACACATGCATGCAAGCAAAACACACATTCACATAAATAAAAGTAGATAAATCCTTAAAGAAATAATAACAACAACAAAAGACTACAAATGGCCTGGCATGCCTTTAATCGTAGCACTTAGAAGGCAAAGGCAGGTAAATCTCTCTAGGCCAGCCTGGTCTACAGATTGAATTCCAGGGATAACCAGGGCTACACAGAGAAATCTTGTCTCAAAATAAATATAAATAAAAAAAACAAAGATGACAAATGAGTAATTATGATTGGTTCTGTATCCACTCACATATTTTTCTATGCATACCTATATTCCTTTCAATGTATATTGATACACAATACTATTTAGATAATTCCAAAATTCTAAACAGGATTTTTCCTCTGATTAGTGGGATAATTGATTTTTTTGATAAAAATTAATTGGAGCTTGGGAGATGGCTCAGTAGTTATGAGCAATATCTGTTCTTCCCAAGGACCCAGGTTCAATTCTCACCACCACTGGCAGCTCATATCTGTCTGTAACTCCTGTTCCAGGGCTTCTGACACCCTCACACAGACATGCATGCAGGTAGAACACCAATGAACAAAATAAAAATAAATTATAGTTAGCTTGATGATGGGGGTGCATGCTTTTAATGCCAGCACGCAGGAAGCAGAGGCAGGTGGATCTCTGTGAGTTTGAGGCTAGCTAGTCTGGGACAGCCAAGTATACACAAAGAAACCCTGTCTGGGAAAACCAAAGTGTGTGTGTGTGTGTGTGTGTGTGTGTGTGTGTGTGTGTGTGTGTGTGTGTGTAAAATCGTTTCTTGTTTCTCAACTGGATAGTGGTGGTGAATGCCTTTAGTCCCAGCACTTGGAAGGCAGAGGCAGGCAGATCTCTGTAAATTTGAGACTGAGGTCAGCCTGGTCTACAAGAGCTAGTTCCAAGACAGCCTCAAAAGCCACAGAGAGACCCTGACTAGAAAAAAAAAATCAGATAAAGCTTAAAAATAACTACTTTCAGACTTGGTTGTCAGTATAATGGCATCTATGGTACTATAATGAAAGGGAGAAACTGAGGTCTTTACTGAGAAGTGTCTGGACTTTGGATCTCACCAGATCTGTTGAGGCCATTAGTTGAAGACCTCAACGTCAGTGTTTTTATTTTAAGGATCTTTGAGGCAAAGTGTCCTACTGTCTTTGAAGGCATCAGTATTTCTATTGTTTGTATTTGGTAACTTTGGAGTGGCCCTTGTCTCTCTGACATACGTACATACGTTTATTCTTTACCCTGGAAGCTACAGTCACCTAAAATAAGTTTAAATATACAAGTTGGGTTTCTTTTGGCTCCGTTTATTTTGTTGTTGTTGTTGTGTTTTTCGAGACAGGGCTTCTCTGTGTAGCTTTGGAGCCTATCCTGGCACTCACTCTGTAGCCTGCCTCTGCCTCCCAAGTGCTGGGATCACAGAGTACTGGGATTAAAGGTATGTGCCACCACCAGTCAGGTTGGCCCTGTTTCTAAAGAGCTCTTTGTAAATCCTCTTCACCAGTGGATGGGATTCCTAGCATGGCCAATGTGGTGTTAGTTCTGTTGTGTGTTTTCATGCAGTGCCAACTCTGCTTGCTGCCTTTACACACGTTCCTATATCTTAAAGAAAACACTTGTAAAAACATTTCCCACTTACTTAACAAAATATGGCATATGCTTGAGAGTCTGTTTTAGGGCTTAACTTTTTGATCCTTCTGTATGGAGATCAAACCCAGGGCCTTTCACATGCCTGACAAGCACCCTAACACTGAGATACACCCATAGTTTGGTTTTAGGGTTTTAACCAGCAAAACTGGTTAATAATTAAAATGATTAAAATAATTAAAAGTCACCACTGAATCTTCTTTTTTAAGATTTTTATTCTGCCTGTGTGTATGCCTGAAGGCCAGGAGAGGGCACCAGATCCCAGATGGTTGTGAGCCACTATGTGTTTACTGGGAATTGAACTCAGGACCTCTGTAAGAGCAGCCAGTGCTCTAAACCTCTGAGCCATCTCTCCAGCCCCACCACTGACACTGAATAATCTCCTCCTCCATTTTTTTTTTCGAGACAGGGTTTCTCTGTAGCTTTGGAGCCTGTCTTGGAACTCACTCTATAGACCAGGCTAGCCTCGAACTCACAGAGATTCACCTGCCTCTGTCTCCCAAATGCCACCACCACCCAGCTTCCACCACTGAATCTTAAAGACTCTGATTCAATTTGAGCTTGTGGACAAACTCCAGCCACACTAAATGAAGATCCTAGGAAAGCCTAGAACTTGCTTTATTATTGTCTCTTTTGATAAACCAGTATTTCTTTTTCTTTTCTTTTTTTTTTTTTTTTTTTTTTTTTTTTTTTGTTTTTTTTTTTTTTTTTTTTTTGTTTTGGAGACAGGGTCTACATAACCCTCATTCCCCTGGAACTCACAGAGATCCACCACCTCTGCCTCCTGAGTTTGATTAAAGGCATGTGCCACCTCTATGCCCAGTCCAGTAAGTTTTCTTAATCTACTTTTTTTTGGCTCCTGAAAATATTATCATTATGAATATGTCAATAGTCAAAATGGGCTTTACCAGTGGTTCCTCTGATACACTTACAGAGCCAAAGGAGTTCATGTCTGAAACATCTGAAACACATGTGCACTGATCATTACATGTATGCCTTGTCTTCCCTAGATTGAATGAGAATTCCTAAAGGTGCAATTTGCTCCCATCTGTGGGTATTCTGTGCTGATGTTTTGACCATACTCCTTAACCTTTCAGTCCACTGCCTACAAATTCTTGCCTTACTGTATAACACTGGCAAAGTTCCTTAAGATTTAATTCAGTATTTATTGCCCTTGAAGTTCAAATCAATAAATACTGGTTGAACTAAGCTATTTTATATACTAATTACTAAGATGAAAAGCCAAGAATAGGAGACCCTGTCCTTAAAGAAACCAGTCTTTCTGGAGAGATGAACAGTGAACAAACGGTACAGTGGCACACACAAGGATAGGTGGGAGAAGTTGGGTAAAGACCAGAGTGCACAGTTGCTTGTAGCCACCTCAACTTCAGAGCAAACTGGGATGGAAATAAATTAATGAAACTTGGCACAATGGCACAGACCCTTAATCTCAGCTACTCTATAAGCTAAGGCTTTCATGGATGGACTACAGAGTGAGTTCAAAACCAACTAGGGCAACTTAGTGATAAAAGGTAAGAAGAGAATTGGAGAACTTGCCTAGTAGTGTAATACATACATACATACATACATACATACATACATACATACATACATACATACATACATACATACAGTGCAGGAGAGTTAAGAATTCCTCCAAGTGAATGAGAGACAACCATGTCTGCTTGTTTATATAATTTGGGCTGTATCTGTATGTGTCACAGCATGTGGAGGTCAGGGGATAACTTGAAGGAATTGTCTCTCCTTCCACCATGTGGGCTCTGGAGACTGAAGTCAGGTTGTCAGGCTTGGTCATCTCACTAGCCTAAGTATGGTCTTTCAGTAGTTTGTTTCCTAAACGCAGGTATCTATTTAAATTGAAGGAAGATGATGAGGCCTGCAGGGAAGCTCAACAGACCGGAGTGTTTTACCTCTTTCATGATCTGGCTCCTTTGCTACAGGCATCAGGACATAGATATCTGGTCCCCCAGCTTAGCCGAGCAGGTAAGGTCAAGGTGCACCAGTGGGAGAGATGACGCCTTGCCACTAGGTGAAATTCAGGTTACATTGAAGCTCCAAAAAATATCCTTGCATTTTTCAAATAGCTCTTGAAACGCAAGCTTTCGAACAGAAGTTTCTGTCCTTCCCAATCCCACAGCCATTTAGTCCAAATAAACACACAGAGGGTTATATTAAATTATAAATTGTTTGACTGAAGGCTCGTTTCTTATTAGCTAGCTCTCTCTTAGCTACTAACCCATTTCTATTGATCTGTGTATCCCCTCGTGGTCTTGGCTTACCAGTGATGCCTGGGCCTCTTTCTTCCTTGGCAGCTACATGACATCTCCTTGTCTCTGCCCACTACCTTTCTCTATTCCTATTTGGATTTCTCACCTAGCTAAATCCTGACTGTTCATTGGCTGAAACAGCTTTATTCATCAACCTATAGGAGAAACATATTCACAGCATACAGAAGGACATCCCCCATCACAAGCTCACATAACTATTTCTACTAACTAAATAAGTCATTGTATGAACTTGAATTGCTAGTTATTCTTGGTAGTGATATGAGCCATGAGTGCCTTAAACAGAGGTCCTTGTAGCTCCTATTCAAATGGTATGGACCACTGCCTGTTTTGTAAATGAAATTGTATTGTAAGATTCCACACTCATTCTTTAACATACTGTGTCCAGTTGCTTTTATGCTACAATGGCAATTGAGTGATCACAGCAGACTGTATTATAAACTATAAAATATTATCTATTTACAGAGAAGATTCTCCACCCTTGCCTTAAGCTAATGAGTTCTAGACTCAGGTAACTGCAGTTTATATAGTTTAAGATTTGCATCCTAGGAGCTAGAAAGATGGCTCAGTGGTGAAGAAGGTGAAGGTGGGACTGCTCTCCCAAAGGACCAGGGTTCAAATCCCAGCACCCACATGGCAGCCAGCAACTGTCTGTAACTCCAAGATCAGTCACTCTCACACAGACTTACCTGCAGGCACAACACCAATGCACATAAAATAAAAGTAAATAAATTAAAAAAATATTTGCATCCTAACTTGATTTTGACTAAGCCAAAATCAAGTAAAATTAATTTTTTAAATGGTTTTGAGCCTAGCCTGATGGGAGATGTCATTCTGTATATATGTTTCTCATACTGGTTAATGAATAAAGCACTGTTGGCCAATAGGAAAGGAAGATAGGAGGGACTAGGAGACAAGGAGGAAATAGGAAGTAGTAAGGAGGAGCCAAGACCGGGGAGACCAGACGCCTGCCTCACTCCTTGGTAATGGCCGGCTCCCCGGTAAGAGAAATACATAGATCAACAAAAATGGGTTAATAATTAAGATAGAGCTAGCCGATAAGAAACTAGTAACTGGCCAACAAGATTATATCAAATACAGAGTCTCTATGTGTTATTTGGGGCTGGTGTGATGGCGGGACAAGAGCAACGGCGGGACAAGACTGGCTGCGGGCGAAAAAACCCATACTCCTTACACTAGCCTTTAATGGCTGAGCTATACCTCCAGCCCCAAATAAAATTAATTTTGAGACCCTTTTTAGTACATGCAGCTAGATATCTACGCTTCTAGATTTGGGAATTTTATTTTTGGGACTCAAGTATGGATTGAGCATACTTTTTTAAAATTCTGAGTGGAGGAGGATGTGACTCAGTGGTAGATATATGACCAGCATACACAAGTGTCTTAGTTACTTTTCTGTTGCTATGATAAAACACCACAACCAAGGCAATTTACAGAGAAAGAGTGTATTTCAGGCTTACCATTTGAGAGGAATGAGAGTGTCATGGAGGAGAGGCATGGCACTGGAGCAGTAACTGAGAGCTTACATCTTAAAGCCAGGAAGCAGAGAACGCACTGCACGTGCTTCCCTGCAGCAACATACCTCCAACAAGGCCACATCTAATACTTCCAAAATAGTTCTACCAACTAGTGACCAAGTATCAAACATAGGAACCTACAGGGCCATTCTTATTCAGACCTCCACAATGAGGTTCCTAGATTCAATCCCAGTAGCAGGGGGGAAAAAATCTGCAACCATTAAATTGAGGGTAAATACCAATAAAATAAAATAAAAATCTATGATATATTAACTATGGTCAGGTGTTCATTCTTTTCATTATTCCCTAAACAACAGTGTAAAACAATCAAGTACATATTTGCATTGTTATTTGGTATTTTAAGCAACCAAGAGCTATTTAAAGTATTAAAAGATTTGATCACACCCAAATTTTGGTATGTAAGAGGTATTCTATAACAGACACCAGCTGATTGTGAGGTCGTAACTATGTACTCTAAGCAGAAGTATTTCCTGTGGGCCTCACATAGCTGTGGTGATGTGACTAAAATTTGTATCTCACTTTTTCTCTCTCTCTTCTTTTTTTGTTACTAGAGTTGGAAGGGCTGCTGGGTAAGTTTGGACAGGATTCCCAAAGAATAGAAGATTCAGTACTGATTGGATGCTCCAACCAGCACAAAGCATGGTTTGCTTTGGATCTAGGTCTGAATAGCACAGCCTCCAAACATGGTGTGTATTCCTTTTCCTAATAGGTACTTCCCTGCCACTCTCAGACTTTAGGTTTTGCATACCATTTCAAAGAAAATTTTACACATACAAAAACATTATCAGTTTTTCTCTTTAAATAAAGATATAAAAACACTATTAGCCATTATCACCACTGAAAAGAAAATAAGAAAGGACTTGCTATTAAACTTTAGATAGCCTGAAACTTGCTATGTAGCCTAAGCTGGCCTCAGATTCAGTCCTTCTGCCTCAGCCTCGGTGTGCTGGGATAACAGGCTTGCATCTGGCTGAAAACCAAGGTGTAATGATTTTTGTCCAAGTGGTGGACACACACACACACACACACACACACACACACAAAATATCTTAACTATTTAATAAGTATTTTAAATTCATGTCTTCAAAACCTGATATGGCAGCATATAAAAGAATTTTAAGTTCTGGGCCAGCTTAGCCTACATAGTAAGTTTTTGAGTGGGGGGGGAGAGGTACCCTACAAAAAAACAGCAAAGTTTGGCATGGTTATCAAAAACTTTAAAAGGACTTTGCTTTTAAATTTTTCACTCAGGATTCAAAAAAAGAACTAAAAATAAGTATCAGAACTAAAGTCTGAGGGGAAAGGGATTGGCTCACATGCAATTGCTCCTTTGCATGTTCCTTTCTTCTTCTCTGTCTCTCTCTCTCTCTCTGTTTCTTTTTTGTTTCTTTGTTTCTCCCCAGTTGTTGGGGGTACAGGTACACACACACACACACACACACACACACACACACACACACACACACACACACACACACACACCAGGCCTTCAGGAAAGTTTACTTACACCAGGCCTTCAGGAAAGTTTACTTTTCCCTGAGGATGAGCAAATGGGCTGATTACCTTTGTCTTTATCTTCTCAGGGGAAATAGGAGGAAGCAGGAAATTTCTGAGCTAAAATTTTGAGTTAATAAAACAAGAAGTTTGAGAATCTTTTAGTGCAGGGTTAGTTTAGGTTATTGCTTCTCTGTCTCTGTCTACCAGTGAGGTAAAATCAGGGCATATTTATTTTTTCTATCCATCGAAGTAGCTATGAATCAACAACTTTGGGCTTGTAGTAATTCTGTCTATGTCCTTGGCTATCTGGAAATGTGTTAGATAGGATGCTTTTGCCTGGGCCCTAAACAGTGACAAAATGCCCATCAATAAAGGTAATTGCTGGAAGGCATATCTCTGCTATTGCAATGGAGAGGGGAACAAGGACCTGATAGTGGGAAACAGGCCCCATACATAGCTAAGGAATATAATCAGTAAACTAGAACCTGTTAATGGAGAATGGGTTTTACACATAGCTCGGGAGTGTAATCTGTAAACTCCAACTGCATGGGGAACTTGTTCCCAGTAAATGATCAGATGGTACTGAACTGGGAAGTAAATCCTAAGTTTGTTACAGAAAGGAATAAGCTACAGAAAGAATCTACAGCAAGAAACAACTAATTCATTCACAAAACTATAACGCCAAATACAACTCTTGTATTGGTTTTATCCATTAGAAGAATTCTTGATTCTTCTGAGTTGTCTCATGATATGGAGCTGTATAATTACAGTGATGTTGTGGTTTGTAGTACATGGTGGTACATACTTGTAATCCCAGCACTTGCAGAGTTAAAGATCATCCTTATCTACATGAGACCAGCCTGGCTGCACAGCATTCTGTCTCAAAAACAAACAAAATTGTGATAGCATTTTTTTTCATAAGCTGTTTCCATGGTCCTCCACCCTCCACTTTGGTCAGTTTGGATCCTCCCATGCTCTCCTCTCTTCTGTGTCTGGGGTGTAAGTGTAATGGTTGTGGGATGAACTTAGATATCCCATTTTATGCTTTCCAAGGATTGGTATTGCTGGTCCTGACTGCTCTAAAACAGATCTTATGAAATACTATACACTAACATTTTCCAAAAAACAAACAAACAAACCCCTAAGAATCTGTTCAATTTTTTTAATTTTCCAAAATTCATGTTTGGGATCTCTCTCTCTCTCTCTCTCTCTCTCTCTCTCTCTCTCTCTCTCTCTCTCTCTCTCTCTCTCTCTCTCCAAATAGAAGCTTGGGGGCCTGGGTAATTTCCCAAATCCCTAGATGAGTCTCTAGACAAGTTTGGGAAGCAGAGCTTAGACAGGATGGACTTCGAAGGCAAAGCTGGACATCTGTTTAATCACATTCTCTTTTCTAATTTCCTAGTCTCCTTGCCAAAATCTGAAATGGAAGCCGAGCTCGGAGGTTCTTTTATCAAGCTGAGGCAGGCTCTTTTTCAGCTGAACTCCATGGATTCCTCCTTACTATTCACGGTAGCTCTGGTTTCTCAGTTCCATAGGAAATAGAACAAAGTTGTGTGTACTGGCAAATACAACCTTGGGGTGACACATAGATTCTCTTGGATCACAGACCTTCCTGTACATTAATTAGCAGAAGACAGTGTACTGTGAAAGATGGTTCACCGTTCCTTGTTTTACTTTTAGCAGAGCTGCTGTGAAGATTTGCCTCGTAACAGCATGTCAACTGGATCTATATATTTTGATAGCTATTAATTATTAATATATTTTTACAGATTTTTTATACATGCTTTTTAATTTTTTTTATTTTTAATTGAATGTGCATGTATGCTTGAATGTAGATTGTACATATTGAGTGTAGCTCTCTGCAGAGGCCAAAAGGGGCACCAGCTCCCCAGGAGCTGGAGTTATGAGTTGTGTGAACGGCAAGTTATATGTCATGGGTGCTGGGAACTGAACTCTGGTCCTCTGCAAGGGCAGTATGTACTCTTATTCTTATTCTTAACCACTTGGCCATCTCTTCAGCCCAACCTCATAAATATTTTTCTCTACAGCATGATATACATCTTTTTACATAAGAAATAATTTTACATTGCTTTAATAACTTGTTCTCACAACTTTAGATCTCACTTGTTAATTTTTATTGTTGGCTTTTTAATCTTTATTTTTTGAAACAGGGTCTTATCTACCCCAGGCTGGTCTTGAACTCACTATGTAGCTGAAGATGACCTTGAACTTGTGATCCCTCTACCTCTATTTCTTAATTACCAGGATTATAAGTATGCCCTTACCTGCCTGGTTTATGTGGTACTAGGGTTGAACTCAGAGTTGACTACATATTAGATGTATGAATTACCTTTCCTGCAGCTGTGATAACAACCCTGACAAATACAACTCAAGAGAGAAAGGTTTATTATGGCTCACAGTTCCAGGGTGCAGTCCATCATGGTCGGGGAGTCACATTATATTCACAGTCAGGAGGCAGACAGTGATGGAGGATCAGTCTGGCTTCTCCTTTTTATTCCAGCCAGGACCCCAGCCCATGAAATGATGCTTTGCTAGACACAATTAGGGTGGGTCTTCTCACCTCAGTGAACCTCTCTAGATAATCTTTCCCAGACATGCCCAGAGATTTATTTCCATGGGGATTCTAAATCCTGTCAAGCTGACAACAGTTATCATACTAGCTATTAATGGTTTTTTGTTGCTTTAATTTTAAAGACATAATCTTGGGTAGCCCAAACTGGCCTTCATCTTACTATATAGCAGAGGACAGCCTTGAACTCCTGGTCCTCTGAGCTCCATTCCCCCAGTTCTGGGATTATAGGCATCTACACAGGCACCAACACACCTGTCTGCTGTGGTGTTTTATTGTCTGTTCTAAATTAAGGAGAAACTCCTAAGCATTTTTTTTTTATAGAAAAGGAAAATCACAACTTGAGTTGTAGAAACTGTGGGTGAAAGTACCTGCTATGCAAAACTGACCCAAGTTTCATCCTGGGAACCCATGGAAAAGCCAGATGCTGCAGTGTGCGCTGGGATCCCAGGACTCCTATCGCAAGATCTCAGGTAGAGGCAAGAGAGTGGCTGAAAGTTCAGGGGCCACTGGCCTCGAGCACACTGCACAGCAAAGCCAGTGAGACCCACTTCAAGGTGGAAAGCAAGAAAGAACTGGTTCCACAAGTTGTCCTCTGACCTACAGTTACACACACACACGTTTTCAAAAAATCATAACTTCATTGAGGAGGAATAAGTATGAAAGAAATGTTTAACCATAATGGAAATTGAAATGTTTTCTTTTTAAGATGGATTACATTTGCAATTCATAGTGTATTTCAAAATACCTTGTAGGTTAGGGATATAGTGCAATGAAAAATTACTTCCTAGTAAATGTGAAGCTGTAGTTTCCCAGCACTGCAAAAAAAATTTTAAATACATAAAATATGTTTTCTTTTAGATTTTTTTAATGCTAGGACAATATATTTAGGCCATTTTCTTATTTTATAGTTTAATACCAGTTGGAATAGGTGAACTAGGACCAGTGAGATGGCTCAGCAGGTAAAGGTACTTGCCATACAAGCCTGATGACCTAGAATGATCTTTGTAAAGGTGGAAGGGAAGAGCCAACTCCATCAAGTATTCCTCTGACCCATCCATGCACCATGACACATGTACTCCCCCCAAGATGCAACACTTTATTGATAATACAATTAAACAACTTCCTTGAAATGAGTGAGCTAGAAAAAGATACCCCCAAGAATTGGTCTAGACACCTTTCTCTAAAGCCGGACCCTCCTCTATGTCTCTAGGCTCAGGCTCTTCTCCGATGGCACAATGGTCACCAGTTCTGTAGCAAAAGTGGGCAGCCCACTAAGAAGAACATGGCCGGCAGCAAGCGAGTGTGTCTTTCCAATAACATCATCTACTATCCACAGGTAGGGACAATGGGGTGGGACATACCTGCAATTCTAGTACTTGGGAGGTAAAGGCAGCCTGGGTTACCTGAGATACTTTCACAAAAACCAAAGTAAGGGCTAGAGAGATGGCTCAGCAGTTAAGGGCACTGGCTGCTCTACCAGAAGACCAAGGTTTGATTCCCAACACCCACTTGGCAGCTCAAAAAATCTCTGTAACCCCAATCCCAAGGGATCCAAGACCCTCTTCTGGCTTCCTTGGGCACCAGGCATGCATGTAGCACACATACCTATATACAGGAAAAATATTCATGCGGATAAAATGAAAGTAAACAGGCAGGCATTGTAGTCAGCACTTGGGAGGCAGAAGTGGGCAGATCTCTGGGAGTGACCCTAACCGGGTCTTCACAGTGAGTTCCAGGACAGCCAGGGCTATGTAGAGAGACTCTGTCTCAATAAAATAAATAAATTTATCTAAAAAATATTTCTCTTTGATTTTTGAAAAAGGGCCTCTCTATGTAGCCCTGGCTATCCTAGAATTTGCTATGTAAACTGAAGAGTAGAAAAAGGAAATTGAGGCAGTATTCCAAGATGGCTTCCACCACTCTGTCACGGGGAAGGGAGCCTGTGTGCTCAGAAGGCTTCCATGATTGCCTGCTCCTTTTGCCTTCTAGGCCTCCAAATGCCAACATCTCAATTTCCATTGTCCTTTCCTAGATGGCCCCTGTGGTGATCACACTGGTGACAGATGAGGCCCGGTGCCTACTTGCCCGCCAGAGCTCCTTTCCCAAGGGACTATATTCTGCCCTGGCAGGCTTCTGTGATATAGGTAAGGAGTTTAGGGGAGGAGCTGCAGGTGAGAGTGGAAAAGAAAACAATTTGTCCTGTTGCCATCATGCTTCTAGTCACAAATATTCACTCTCATGTCAAGAAAACTGTCCTGGAATCATATACAATTTTCCTACATTAACAGGAGGTAACATTTGGAACATACAGCATAGCTGGAAGAGCGATACAGTGATACACCCACCACCTCGTTTCTATCATCTGTATTACACTCTGCTCACATATGCATCTACCCATTTGTCTGCCTGTCCATCAGGCCATCTTATTTCTTATGAACAAATTTCAGACATGAGTGTACTTCTCCCTGAGTCTTTCAGCACACAATGATGCTAACTAGAATTCTGTGCTTACTTACATTTCCTTATGCTGTTATCTCTTTTAGTTTACTGGGTAAAGTTTCAGGATAGTGAGACATGACACTGTCATCCAGCTGAAGGGAGCAGTAACCTCTCCCATTGCTACACTCACCTGCATTTTAACCAACCCACTAGACTTGAACACTTGCTATACTCAGGGGCTGATTCCTTGTGCTGGGAACTGCGACTTGGAACACTCGCAGGAGCACCACATTCAGACTCCTTTCACACATTAGATAACATACAGTTTTCCTGCACCAGGCCTGTCTAGAATTAATCTGAGTGCTTTCAGGTGAAAGTGTGGAAGAGGCTGTCCAGCGAGAAGTTGCAGAAGAGGTGGGTCTGGAAGTGGAAAACCTACAGTACTTCTCATCCCAGCACTGGCCCTTTCCCAACAGCTCGCTTATGATTGCTTGTCATGCAACGGTGAAACCAGGGCAGACAGAGGTAAATTCTTAACTTTCCCTTCACCAGACAGAGAGCACTTTCTGAACATGTGCCTTAAGGAGTACTGTTTGGGCCATAGGGAGGTATAGAAGGTAATCAGTACCTTGAAGGAATTTGCCCTTGAGAATGGAAACAAATGGTCATCATTCTCCCTTGCATATATCCTTTGCTTCCCTTTGAGCTGCTTTGTTATAGTATAATTAACACAGAGTCTACCCATGGACAGGGGTTGTGGCTCACTTGGTAGAATGTGAGCCTAATGTACACAGCACCATGTAAACCAAAATTTGGGAGGTGGAGGCAGGATGATCAGAAGTTCAAGGCCAGCCTAGACTACATGAGACCCTGTTTGTTTTTTAAAATGGCATGTCTCCAGATGTCTATAGACTTCTTTTTTTTAAAAAAAAAAAAAATGTATTTATTATGTATGCAGTGTGCTGCCTGCATGTATGCTTACATACCAGAACTCATTATAGATGGTTGTGAGCCACCATGTGATTTCTGGGAATTGAACTTAGGACCTCTGAAAGAGCAGCCAGTGCTCTAAACCTCTGAGCCACATCTCTAGCCCATTTGCAGACCTCTAATGCTTCTAAGTTGCTGGGTTTAGAGATAAGCATATATCAGGAGCCGCCAATCAGGCATCATTATAGGTATCATGAACTTACCCTTTATTTTCTGTCCTCCTGCTTTTCCTCTGTGCTAAGAGCAATTAATATAAGCCTCACTTTAATGTATTCAACAGAATATTTCTAACTGTAGGTTACTAACAGAACTTACTCTGTTAAAAACTGTATATCCTCTGATCACTGCTTCCCTGTTTCCCCCTCCTTCCAGACCTTAGGAACAGTTCTACTCTTTGCTTCTACACCTTTGACCATTTTAGTGGCACCATGCAGCTGAGACCAGGTATGGTCTGTGTTTGAGGCCATCCTGGTCTATAGAGCCAGTTCCAAGACTCCAGGACAGCCAGTGCTACACAGAGAAAGTCTGTCTCAGAAGAAAAAATAGTTTCTATACAGCAAAGGAAACACAGAATGAAAAAACACCCTGTGGGATGTGAGAGAATGTTTATAGAGTAAATATCTCAAAAAGATTAATATACAAACTATGTAAGGATCTCAGCACAGACATGTGTTGGAGTTCAGTGGTAGTGTGCACCTTTGAGGTCCTGCATCCCAAGACAGGGTTTCTCTGTGAAACAGCTCTGGCTTTCCTAGAATTCCCTCTGTAGACCAGGCTGGCCTCAAATTCACAGAGAGCTGCCAATATCTCCCTCCCAAGTACTGGGATCAAAGGTGTACCCCACCACCCAACTTAATGGTACCTTTTATAGAGACAGAATACACATACCTCACTTAGCAATTTGGAGATTGATCTTACTCCTCACAGAATTCAGGATATTGGGGACTAATGATATAAAGCTATAGGAACTTCTGGTTGAAAGGGACTTTGGTATCTTCCCTAAATCCACCTTGTTTGTCTGTAGCATGTCTGACAGATGGAAGTCACCAAAGGCCCTGACTACCAGTTTGCCTATTCTGTCCTCTGGTTTTTATGGGCTCGATAATCTGCTTCTACTTCCTGGGACAGTCTGTGTTTACTTTACTTCTTGCTTTGTCATCATTGACCTTTATCCTTTAGAGAGAGCAACATTTGTACAAGTGTATTTATGTGTACATATGTGGAAATCAGAGGCAGGCTCTGGGAGCCCGTTCTCTCGTTTCAACGTGTGAGTCAAAGGACCAAGCTCGGGTTGTCAGGCTTGGCTTGCTGAGCCATCGTGCTGACCCTGCAGCTGCTGTTTAATTGAAAGAGTTATACAATTAATTATAACTCACCACTCAATATTTTAGTATCTGTACTTGGGGATTTTATGTGTATGTATACTGGGGGTTGAAACTAGGCTAAAAAAATGCTGTTAGCCTTGTACGATAGGATATTTTTTTTATTTTATCTTTTTAAAGAGAACTATGTAAAAATACATTTGATTCTCTATTGTTTTTCCTGACAATATGGAGAACTGATTTTAACCTAGCCCATCAATGCCGGGTGTTATCATTTAAGAAAACATAGTTTTATATGAGTTTTCTCACTTTTGGCCTAGTATTTTAAATTTTATAGTTCCTAATTTTTCTCCCCCTCCCGCCCCCCTGTCTTTCAGATCCAGGTAAACCAGAGAGAACTAGAAGCAGCTGCCTGGTTCAGTCTTGATGAGGTAGCCATAGCCCTGATGAGAAAGGGTTCCTTTCTTCAGCAGCAGAGTGATGCTCTCCCGTTGTTGTTGCCTCCCAAATTAGCTATTGCCCACCACATGATTAAAAAGTGGGTGGAAAGGCAGACCTGTTCTTCCCTGGCTGCTTAACTCAAATCAAGCTGTCTAGATCCCTCCCGGGCATTGCTGAAAGGCATGCCAGAGATGTACTACAATAGAAGGTGGCAAGGCCAGCTCCAGGGCAGCCTCCTAAGGCAGAGGAGCTCTGAGAAGTTCCTATTGCCAAAAGAGGTTCCTATTAACAGACAACCAAAAACATCAGTGAAACTAGGATAAAGCATCCTGTGCTGGCACTTGTCCCAGCTGCTTTGGAGGATGAGGCAAGAACAAAACCCCTAAGGAGCAGAGTTGATTGATGAAATGCTAATGATGAGCTGAGGGAAGGGTACTGATTCATTCAGATGTGAGCCATTTTCTCCAAGGCTGTAGGAGCATACATCTTCAGGCACATGGCTTATGGTTGTTGCATTTACAGGAACTGACAAATGTGCCTGGGGTAATTTATCTTAGTATCTAAACTATTAACAAATCTTAACGCACATTTGAGTTGCTTCTGTCCTCACAGAAAAAATAGCATAATATAATGTTTTTGAATTTGTATGTAGGTATATTCCTTTTTAAATTTTATTATTACAAGTGTTTGTCTGCATGTATGTCTTTGCATAATATGCATGCCTAGTCCCTGTGGTGGCCAGAAGAGGGTGTTACATCCCCTGGAACCGCAGTGACAGACTTGTGAGCTGCCTTGTGAATGATGGAACTCAAACTTGGGCCTTCTGGATGACAGCCTCTGAGCCACCTTTCCAGCCCCTATAAGAGTATACTCTTATATGTGGTAGTTAAAGTTGACCATTTAGTAGTTGTTGCTGTTGCTGGAGATCAAACCCAGGGCCTCATACATGGAAGGCAAGTGCTCACCACAGAGGCATGTCCTCAGCCCCAAAGTTATGGTTTTGTTTTTTTGTTTAAGCTCTGAAGGGTTGAGGAAAGTGGGAACAAAGTTCTTCCTCAGCATACTCTATAGGCAAACGGAGTTTGTTTGTTTGTTTTTCGAAGTAGCTAAATCCAAAAAGGGATTTAAATAATTTGAAAGACTGTGTTGTGGTTCCAGCTCTTTCACTGGCTCAGTTTGTGACCCAGGGAAGAGACTAAACCTAAGACAGTACTGAATCTGCATGCCCAGAGGACACTGCTTCAACTGAAGGAGTGTTGAACCACCACTACCACCCACAGTGCTAGAGAGACCGAACTCATACACCTCTGCAGGCCTATCACTGAGCTGGACTCCAACCTCTGTGTCCTCTGTGCCTTGCCATTGTAAGAGAGATTCTCTGGAGGAAATAAATGTTCCTGCCTTTATTCAGACTTACTTTTTTTTTTCCTGTCTATTGCTCAAATTTTAGAAAATGAGAATGGGGTGTGGATGGGAAAGATCTTTGTGTGTAACTGTAAAATGTTTAAGTCTGGATTCCCAGGCTGTGGTACAAACAGGAAAATGTGCAGAAGAAACTGTCAGAGAGACAGTTGGAAAGAATGGCTGGGGCAAGTCCTAGCTTCAGATAACTGCACTAACATAACTTAGAGAGGAAAGACCCAGCCACCCTAAGCTTACCCACACATTGCAGAAGCATTAATCTAATTATTCTTTATCAATAAAAAATCAGGAGTCAGATATCAAGGTAAGAACCTGAATGATCAGAGAAGCCACCTTCCTCTCTCCATTCCTCCATCCAAAAGGACAAGATTCTCTCTCAGACCTGCATTACTACTTCCTGTCTCCAATATGTCCTCAAGTCCTCCAAAATCTCTATGGTTAATTTTGGTCAACTAGTGGCTAGCTCTGCCCTCTGACTCAAAGCAAACTTTGGCAAATTCAGAGAAAATACTCCATTATCTAACATTTCTTGGTGAGTCCAAAGTTTTGTACCTAATTTACTTTCTGTCCTAACTTGTATTACTAACCAAAATGATCCTTTTATGTCTCTCAACCTTATATACTTTACACCACTTTTTTTTCTTTTTTTGGTTTTTCCAGACAGGGTTTCTCTGTGGTTTTTGAAGGCTGTCCTGGAACTAGCTCTTGTAGACCAGGCTGGTCTCAAACTCACAGAGATCTGCCTGCCTCTGCCTCCCAAGTGCTGGGACTAAAGGCATGCACCACCACCGCCCAGCCTTTACACCACTTTTGTGAGTTTCTTTTCTGAATTTGGTAACAAGGAAAATTCTATAACTACCTAGTCTTTGACTTTATTAGAGACTTAAGAAGGATGTAATATCATCTGACTAAACTGGAAGTGCAAAGTACACAACTTCCTAAACTAAGAAATGACAGAAACAGCTAGCTGCCTGGACAGTCACCCAAGGTTCCTCTGTAACTTTGGGCAACCTTAACTTTGACCTACAGGCCTACCTAGAATATCTTGACAGATTTTTCTGTGAAGCAGGATTTTGAAGTCATTTTCTTTTGTGTCCTCCTTGTCCAATTTAGGCAGCACACTGTCAGCTGTTAAGGCAAGCATATTTTCTTGCCCAGTGGCTAACTTTTACCACAAAGAAAGCAAACTCCATATGGAGTTTCTTCATTGCTCACCATCTTCTCTGAAGTAGATTGGTGGTGCCAAGAGCAGACATCTCTCACTGTCATAAAAAAAAAACCTTGTATGATTAAAATATCTTTAATGCCACATCCTGCAGATCTCTGAAATGTTTGAAGACCACTTGTCTATATAAAACATCTCTGTTTGACTTTGAAAACATACCTAACATGACTCCAAGTTTGATTGTAATAGGGGCCTAACTACCAGTCTGTATTTCTTTATTATTCTAAATAATTTATAATAATAACTTTCAAGGATTAGAAATGTACATTACATTGTTAAATGAGCTGCATAGCTACAATACAATAAGAGTAGAAACAAGAGTAGTACTCTTTGTTCTAATAGAAATAATCTCAAATTTGTATCACTATGCAAAAATATCTTAAGAGTAGAAATATATGTACAGTATAACAAAAATAACCTCAAATGTATATAGACATATGAAAATCCATACCAATGTAAAATATTTAAGACTAGTAGTTGCTTTTTTGGTTTAAAAGTAGATTCAATAATCTACCCTTTAATCGTATCATTTCTATATCCCTTTTTCTTTACAGAACTGAATATAATTAGATTAGCTTTGTTTAGCTTTTTTTCCTGATCACTACCAATAACAACTTGTAACAACCTCCCTAAATGATGACAAATATCCATAACCCACTGAATGACCAAAAACACCCAACCCATTGTAGCATTCAGGCATTATGCTGCCCCCCACCCCCACCTCCAGCCGCCCATCACCTGGTTGGATGTGCTTGGCAGTACTCAGCCAGTACTCTGAGCAATGCAGGGTCCTGACAATCTCTTCAGCTTTGTCACTATAGCTATATCCTCTTTAAAAGGTGGAATCCCACCTGCTTTCTCTCTTCTCTCTCTTCCTCTTCTCTCTCTTCCCCTTTCTCTTTCTCCCCTTCCCTCTGTCTCTCTACATCTCTGTATCTCTTTCTCTCTTTTCCAATAGGCCCCTCTACGCTTCTTTTCTTTCTCCCTTCTCTTCTTTCCCCCACCAATAAAGAAACCCTCCATATGAATGCTGTCTGCATGGTGTGTCTTTCTCACCTGCCATGGCGGCCCCTTGGCTCCAATCCACCAAGGTCTCTCCCCAGCCGTTTTATAACACCACCTCTTGAGAATGTGAGTGTTATGTACTTAAAGTTACTTCCTGTTTTCTTGTGGGGGTGATGGCATCTCTAGGGGACCCTGAGAAAATTGAGATAATAGTCAAGTCCTGGGAGAGGTAGCTGTATCATTTGTTGCCAGTCTCTGTGTAATGGAAAAAGTGTAGGCCTTATCTGAAGTCCTGGCTAGAGTAGTGCATGAAGCTGAACCATCTTAGCTAGCATCATTAAATTGTCCTGAATAGTTTTTAGTTCAAAGCTGTTCTTTGAGTGGTGTTTGTCAGCCTAGTGACATGACTACAATCCAGGTGAAACTGTCATTGTGTGGCTCCATCATCCTATTGGAGGCATCAAAGGTCACTATTAGGCATGGTCACAGTTAAACATCTTAATGTCATATGCAGCAGATCTTGGAGAGCTTAAAAGGCCACAATTTGTTAAGTACATCTGAAATACACAAACTTAATTCCTAGTTACCTGATTCAGACTCAAACCCAAAATCATGCATAGGAAGCTAGATTGTCTTTTTTTTTTTTAACATCATGACATAAAGTTATAATACATATTATAAATCTTGAAATAATATTTATACCTTAAGAAAAGTTTTAAAGTCAAAATAAAACCAAAGAGTTATGAGATTAGTAACAATAGAACAGTCCCTTAATTTTGGTTTTTCTTCTGTCCTGTATCAGAAGGGACATGAAATGAAACAGAGATTTTGGATTTTCCTTTAACAAGCATACTTGAGTTCAGAGAAGGAGCAAAGCACACTCCAACTTCAAAGCCAGCTTGAATTTGTAGTTGGATTGGAACTACAAAAAAATCATTTGCCTTATGTCTCTAGAGAACAGCAGAAACAAACATTTGGGGAGATATATGAAGTTTTATTCTGTTGGAAATGTAATATACCATTAGGTCAATTTACTCTTTTTATTGTGACACTTTCTTGGATGATTTGTCCTTCTTCAGATGTCTCATTTGTTAAGTGGTCTTCAGATTCCTTGGTTGGATGCTTTCATTCTCCTGGAAAGACAAAAACAAAATCCTGCTCCACCCCTAACCTTTTTGGCAGGTTATATCTGATCAAATGAAAGCATTTGTTAGTCTTATAAGTTAGTTTAGGTTTAATGTTAACACTCTTTGATGAAATATCTCCTTTTCTAATCAAGTGGTCTCATGCTGGAGTCTAATCTTTATCAATTTTGATGGTATCCATAGCTTTTCTTTTCTTATGGAAACAAAAGCAAAAAACCTCTTCCCCAACATAACACATTTTAGAAGTCACCTCTATCCAAGTATCTTTATATTCAACATCAGCTGAATTTCTAATCCATTCATCTATGGGTGCTGATCTTGCCTTTAAAGGCCTGATCACCCTTTTACATTCTGAATTAGCATTTTCAAAAGCCAAAGGTTCAATTAATATTTATCTAACTTCTGGATTTGATGTCATTCTATTTATAGCTGAAGTCAATCTTTGTGGAAAAAAAAAATCAGTGAAGCCTTTGGGGCCTTGTATAATTTTAGTAAATAGCTCAGTCTTCTCTCCTGATTCTTCAGTCTTGTCTCAAGTGTTCAAAGATGCTTTACGACATAGGTCTGCAGTATGATCATCAAATGTAATCTGTCTTTCCTCATCAGCATAATGGCCCTCACCAAGGATTTGATCTTGGGAAATCTTTAGCCCTACCTTATTGTTCAGTGACCCTGGCTTCCTTTCTCCACAAGGTTCTTCAATATTGGACCAGCTTCCAATATTGCTGAAACTAAATCTTTCCAGCCTTGTAGAATAATAATTCTGTTCTGAGTGGCCCATGAATATGGCATTTAAAATGGTTTAGGGTTTTTCTTGACAGTGAGACATAAATGCTTCTGGCAACACCACCTACATCAGAAAGGAAGATGGACATCGAAGAAACGCGTTATGAAGTTT